AATAAATAAAAAATCTACTCATTATTGAACTTTTAGCGAAATTTCATGTTATTGGCATGAAATAGACGACAAGCTGAAATGGTAGCCTAGTTGTCATGTTGTTTTCGATCTACCCCTTACCAACATCTTCTATCGAGATACTATCGTACGAACTGAACCTCTTTTAGTCTACAGAAGAGATGTCTCGAGCATCTAACCCATCATTCCCTAAATGCCACGAGGTAGATGGGCTTTGCAAATGTGTTTCTCTCTTTAAAGTCAATGGGTCAACAGTGCTAAAAGTCTCAGTAAGTTTAATAATAATACCTTCATTTTCCCAGTGCCAACGCCATGTTCACCAGTGCATGTTCCTGCTTTGCCATGGAATCAAAAAATCAGAAAACATCGTAATGGGATATCTTTTTTCTCAAATCTTCACACGATTCCACACAGTGAATCCACAAAAAAGTAAAAGCCAGTGCAGGAGTTGGAGTAACTCGAGCATATAGTCCTATTCTTCATATTTGGCATTCAGATGTTAAAACTTATGTCGTCCGTAAAAAGAGTTAATCCGTTTATACACATAATAACAGAAACATGCAGCATTAAGTACATAGTCATGTATTTTAATCCTCAACTAAAATCTAGTGAAAACAGAGGTAGCAACCAAGTAAACCTTAAAAGAACGAAAAGGATGGCCCTCAATCTACTGGATCATCATGGCACGCTAATTCACTGTGAATGAACTGATACTCGACAGGAGCATCATTGAATTTACCATTCTTCTTATCAAAATGTCGATGGATTTATAACATTAGCTAACATACCCCGTCAAGTACCAGAGAGACTAAGTCAATGGTGGAAGTGAATTGTGACTCATACAGAAGGATATGGTAAGGGTATCCTAAGAAATAATAAGCTTAGCCGCCTTCCATATTTAAGAAAAAGGAAGCCCAAATTCGGGGCTTTCTAGTTCAGTATCTTAGGGGCAGAATATTTGCATACTCTGAATAGGCTCCAATAAAGTAAACTAGCATTGAATAAACTTACATAAGCTAAGAATAGGATCCAAATGTGTAACTTGTTTAAATATCGTAAGTTCTTTCTTGTACCCTTGTTACGAGGTAAGGCCCAATGGCCCCTTCTAGTACTGCATTTTTATATTAATAAACGGGTAGAGACAATTCCAAACCTCACACTACACTATTGGGCAGGAGCCAAAAACTCCTATCCCAGCAGAAGTGTTTTACTTTAAAAAATAAAATTTAAAAACATTGGCATTACATGCTGGTGAGTAACTAAGTGAATATGCAAACTCATCCCACATTATTTGTGACTTATAACATGATTAATGAAGGACGGGGCAGTTTATGAGAAGACTTCATTAGTCTGAAGAATAAATATTGATAATAGAAATTTCTGGCTGAAAGAAAATAGAGTTTGCTTAAGCAGCTCGTGCAATACCTTCCATGGCTAAAGCTGTATGCACCATGAAGTGGTTTAATCTCTCACCTTCCTTCCTTTGTTCCTCTTGGTCAGGTTCAAATAGAATCACAGTGTGGAAGTTTCCATCACCAGCATGAGCAATGACAGTGCTGTTAAAGCATATGATATGTAAGAGCATAAGAAAAGTAAGGCGTAGAAGCAAGGTTTACAAACTCCTAACCATCTCCTTATAGAAAAACTATACCATACTAAAGATGAAGAATCCAGCTCTTGCTTAGATGTTGATATCAATTCTGCAAGGCGTGATAATGGAACACAAACATCCTGCGTGATAACAAAATCTCTCAGTTTTTTCAAGTTCAATAAGAGGCCAAAAGCAACTTACTAAGGTTAGCTAAGAACTAAAAAGATCCATGAATTATTTGAAATCTAGAAGGCTAAGAAGCATGAAATAGCCAGGCACAGAGAGGTATCACAGTGAGAAGGGGAAGAGAGGGATTACCACATCCAAAACGTAAAACTTTTACGCTTTACCTAGACATGCACACTAATTGTTTCCAGCCTAAAAATATGGATGTCAAATATAAAGAGAAAAACTCACCGTTATCATTGCTTCAAAATTTGGTTTCATAGCAAAGCATGCCCAAAGTGCCTCCTTTCTTATCTACATGGAAAACAAATTGAACAAATTAGCTAAACTAGAGAAAATCATCATAATTATCTAAAACACACACAAAAAATAATAATAATAATAACACTATAAGTAGAAGTTAATTTGTAGGAAGTTTCTTAAATCCCTTCAGGATCAAAATCAATTTTCATGGGACGAAACACGGAAGGTAAAATCATTTAGAAAGATATAGGATACAAGAGAAATTTATTAAAGCAAGGAACAATCTTGTCCAACAAACGTGTACATTTGAAAGTAAGTAAGGTGGGATTAAGGTTACTGGCTGATGTTACGAATTTAAATGATACAAAATTGGGATTGAAATAGTATTTTGACGTGAAGAAATACTCAGCCTTTTATAGCTAGTCTAGCATTTACAATAAAAGCAATAGTATCAGTCTTTCTACATTAAGCTACTTTGGAATGAAAATTCTATACTGCATATTTTCTTTATACATGCCCGAAGAAGCAAAAATATCCATAAACGCGTTAATCAAATAGTTTTAAAACTCTAAATATTAAAATCAGAGAATTAATAATAAATAAAAGAAGATGATTTAAAAGGCAATTTATTATCTCCAGTATTAGATAAAGAATATGGAAGCAGGAGATACCGAGTCTTGAGAGCAAAAATGCTACAAAAAGAAAGATAAGGAAAAAAGAAAAAAGAAAAAAGGAAAAGATTGTGTGCACATCGGCCCGTGATTTTTAGATGCATACCTTCCAAAGTTCTTTTTTCGCTTCAGAATCCTCTGCAAAAACAAAATCAGAGCCATTGTGCTCTGAAGCTATCTTCTGAACTATGAGCGTTTGTTCACGTGCATAAGCTTCTGTTGGACATTGAGAACAAAACAAAGTTGACGATCAAAAAATAAAAAATTTCCAACCTCAAATACTGTATTGAACTGTGAAGGACATTTAAATGCTCCAAAGAATTAAATGATTTAAATAGATTTTTCTAGTTAAATCTGTGGCACTATATGAGTTGACAAGTAAAAAACATTCTTGCTAAATTTAATCTTTTTAAACATCTTACCCAGCAAATTAAGATGAAACCGAAATTTTTAGATCGCAGGAATTTAATGGTTAGGTAGACTAATTTAACTCAAAATATGATTTGCACTAGCTGTTATGTATACCAAAAAAGTAAAGAATACAATCTGAGAACTGAAAAGCAGAATATTAAGGATACAACAGTCAAACCTACAACAGATTCAAACGTGAACAAGCAATACTTCAAATATCTAGCTACTGCCCACCCTGTAGTTGATTTCTATTTTGACAGTTGTACATTATTTTACACTCAACACTTCGATGATGTATGGAACTCAAATAGATCTTTATTTACAAATTTTCTGGTTATTAATATTTCAGGTGTGTCAAATGTGCATAGGGTCAAATGATCAAGGAATAACTCATATCTCATTGAAATAAAGGATTCTAGACGTACAACTGTTAGAATGTGATAACCAGAACACGACATGTCTAAATCAAACCCCCAAGACAATCACATTTACACACCCATGTCTCCACCACAAGAGCCATACACAAAAAAGAAGAAAGTGAAAGAGAGAGAGATGGTTACTTGTCTTGCCTCATCATAAAATAAGTGCTTGTTTTGATAGAATTATAATCTCATTAAAATTTGAAGTCAAAGTCAAATGCCGATTTAACTACTTCTTTTCATTTAATCCCATTTTAATTCTTCCAAACGAGCACTAGGATCAACTTCAATTTTAGGATGCATTATGGTAGGTAAATAAAATGACGTATGCAGTGGCCAATAATTGGAAAGAGACATGTTTCACCTGTGCCAATAAATTCGAACATCAAAGTAGGAACTTCGGGTAAATTTTTCCCGTTAGCAAGATTAATTGCCCTCACTTGAACTTCATCCATAAGCTCCACCCTTGAAACCTAGTTCGCATAACAGAACAATAACATAGTGGAGAAGCAATGGAGAAATCTAGCCTTATTAGCATATGCTATAATTACCAAAATATTCATATAAACTGAATCCAGCCTATGTAGTTCAAATGAGGTCAAGTTACAATCACTTTTTGCAGAAAGATGAAATGAACATGCAAGCATGTCACTTAAAATCCTTTGCTTACAAACAGGCACTAATATAAAGTCTACCTTATGATTTCAGCAGACATATGCAACATGCAACATCTATGATCTTGTCAGATACATACAGCTACAGAAACTTCTGAATGCCAGATTGAGTAGATTAATAGCAAATTTAGCATAAATCCTAACCTGTATGCCCGACATCATAGTGGCAATAGCAACATCTGCTGCATCTTTAATTGTAGGAAAGTTACACATTGCAACCTGAGCCATGATCAAAGCCAACAATAAATGCATATTTTAAGCCGAAATAAAACTCCAGACAAAACATATCAGATCTTAACATTTTACATTACAATTGCACCAATCAAAATAATGTCACATCTCACCTACACGTGTGTGTGAATCAATCGGAGGACATTATCATGCTCATTAGTGATACATACTGATTAGAGGAACAAAGTAGGCTCTTGACTCTTGTTAGCTTCTAATACGAGTAAGCTAACAAAAGCCATTCACTCACATATGCAATACATAGCAGCACATGAGTTCATGAAAACATGTTTAAGAGGAAGAAAAACAACGAGCTAGTGCCGAACCAATAGAGGACCACCGTTTTCAACAAATAGGGAATACCACTGAGTACTGTGGAATCTTTTGCAGACGTAGAGTAACTTCAGTTATAACACCCAAGGTCCCTTCACTTCCAATCATTAGACGTGTCAGATCATACCTATGAAGTTTACAAGTACACAAGTTACCAGGGTTCTTGAGTGAAATTATCTCATTACTCAAAGAACAAATTTTGAGGAAAAGCACACCAAATTGTTTCCTTTTTCCAGTAAAAACCAGCAGCCATACAAAGAATTGCTAAATTCCAACAAAAAAGAAGTGGCAGAAATGAATAATGGAACAAGAAAATTGAAAAGAGAAAATAATACACATTACACAGTGATTGAATTAACAGAAATTTTCTCCTCTCAATCATACAAAAGGAGTACAACCTTTTCCCTGAAAATAAATTAGCAAACCAAGTAACTCTGCGCATTGCCTTTTGTTTCAACAGCATAATGCAGCACAAGTCTCTTATAATTGGCTACAATAGTTACATATGGGGTCCTCTCTCAGCACGCACATATTGAAAACAAGAAGCTAAGGAGGACAATGATATTGACCTTTGGATCTATATAATATATATGGGACTTATTATAAACAGAAATTGAGAATTAATTCAAATTAATCAATTTTTGCTGCCATTTAATATATCAGGTAAACTTGCAGAGTTGTCAGATTGGATAGGCTACAAATTCCATATTTTCAACATTTAATGGACACATGTTTCTTTTATGGGAAAATTAGGTTTGGGCTCCCCAACTTTGCATGTGGTACGGTTATGGGCCATCAACCTACTTAAATATGTTAATATGGGTTTTTACTGACCAAAACCATCAATATGGAGGTTAGAAATACGTGCGAATTTCAGTTGAAATTAGATAAAAATGTTATATGGTTAGACATTTACGACCTCCATCTTCAAGTGATGAGACGTGACCGATTTTTCATAAATATTGACATATTGGTCAAGTTGGGGCCTAGATTCATACATTTAAATAGGCTGAAAACCAGAACCTCACTTTGAAGATTGAGGATCTATAACAACGTTATGTGGAAGGTTGGAGAGCCCAGCTCTAATTTTCCCTTCTTTCATTTATTTTATCTCTTTAATACATGTAATGTAGATAGCATCTCCAAATTTAGTTTCGTTGCAACTTCTATCGTCCTCTCCACATGTTACTCTACAAGGCATGAACTCCCCCCCTCCTATGTGTACTTTATTGTTTATTAGTAGACATGGTAAGGCATAGCCAACACCTACCACCCCAAACGCTGGGTTTAGGTTGAGGCCTAATAATCCCGCCTAGGCTATGCTGGTTTTCAAAAAAATAATAATAAAATTTTGCTGCCTGGAAAAGACCAAATTTGGATGACAAAATTACCTATGCAATTTGCATGCAGAAGGAAAGCTAAAGAAATGTTTCTGTTATGCTGCAAAAAATAAATACACTAAAAAGATAGAGATCAAGGTGAGAGTAAATATAGATGATAGCTCGCCTTATTAGTAAACGTTCCTTTTAACCGTTCTCAAACTTTCTTTCTGTTAATATAAGGTCAATCCAATATATTTGCAAGAAAGAGTACAAGCAGCAGAAATGCAACAAGTTCATACTGAAATAGAATCAGTCTTTGCTACATGAAAGGGTAATTACAATATCATTAAGCAGATAACCAGTGCTTGAAAGTGAAGATCCAGTACCAAGCATGCAACAAAAAATACGAATTCTTATGCAGAAACAAGCTTCCGAACAGAAAGTACGAAACATCTGCATAAGAATGCAACAATAACTTCTACCAGCGTCTTGCAATCGCTGACCAAGATTATAAGAATGGCATTAGCATTTGTTGAACCAGTTGATCTATAAGCTAGAGAGTGACGACATTTATGTATTTAAATTGTGCCTTAAACACGCCCCCCCCCCCCCAATTATAGGCCAGGTTTCCCATCTAAAGCCTAATACATGCACAATTGCACAGTTTTAATAAATGGGAGGCGTTGATACTCTAGCTCAAGAGCTTTATGTGATATCCTGTTGAACCATTTAATCTAAAATCCTAAGGAAAGGACATGTGTGCATTTTAAGTGCCTTCACCAGAATTTAATTGATTTACTTATTAACTTACTATACCAAGGATGTCAAACATGTGGCCAAGAAAAAGAAAAAAACCCACATAATTTCCTTACAATTTAACTCAGAGCCTCATTTTTTTAGACTGCAAAATAATCAATTGCGAATGGTCAGAGAGAAAAAAGACACCTGCTCATATTGCAGGTAATCTGTAGCCTCCTCTTCTTCGCAATCCCACCCATCAATGATATAGATAAAGGGATAGAAGTTTAGGCCTTGTAGTTGTTTGAAAATGCTTTCACTTGTGTTTTTATAGTAAGTTAAGATGCTTGAACAAAGTATGAAGATAAAGATTTTATAGAGTAAGGTAAATAAAGATATAAAAAAGGGACAAACCCAGCAGCGCTTTTCCTTGCACGGGATCCTGTCTTGACGATGTCTCCATTGGCTAGAACAACCTACAAGAAAGAAACGTTGTCAAGGTGATATACATCAATGATCAAACACACATTTAATGAAATTAAAACGAACCTTCAGATTGATGACATTATCTCGCATAGTTCCATACCTACATGCTAGAAATAAGAATAATTAACCAGACTTAATTAAATGCAATAATATTGTCACAAAATTTACATTTTTCTCACTCTAAGCTAAGGCAAATATTGTCCCAAAGTTTAGATTTTTCTCACTTTAAGCTATAGGCAAAGGTTACTTATACCAGACATGCAGATCAGTCAAGAGCATCACATGGGGCCACTGGTGGAAGAACAATTTGACTAGGTATGCTGAGCAGTGGGAAATATTATTATCATATTCTATAGCAACTTTCTCATGGCAGTTTGAACAAAACTATAATGTCAATGCATGACAGTAACCAATAAATGATAAACTAAAAATAGGGCCTGATTCAGAAAAATTCTTATTATTTTTATCAATGCTTGAATGATCAAAAGGAATGGTGTGAAGGAAATAACATCCATGCTTACAGAATTGAAGAAGACAGGTATGACCTTACAGCTAAAGAACCAGAGCAACGTGTAGCACACATTCCCCCTATCGTTGCTCCAGGACCTGCCAATTAGTAAGGTTTTATTACATAGTTCTTGAATATATAAAACATAAATCTCTTTGGTTGATTACGTAATAATGCTACGAAAGTGAGCAAATCTTTATGGTTTAGAGACAGGAGCATTTTACTATTTTCTTTCTTCACATGAAACCAGTCAAATAACTATATAGCATGCAGATATTTAAAACGAAAAAGGATATTTACTCAATTTCTAGGATTTTCACTCAATTTCTAGGATTTTCTCTACAGAAAATAAATAAACATCATCCTAAAACAGAAGATCTGAAAGTAAACACAATAGTTCTGTTGAAGATGGAAACTATAGAAGCACTGATTGACAAAGATCAAAAGAAGCTGACCTGGATCAAGAGGAAAGAATAGGCCATAAGGCTCCAGGTGCTCATTAAGTTCCATCCACCCAATCCCAGGTTCAACAACCACATCCATGTCCTCAAGATTTAATGATTTGATGTTCTACAATTTAAACAGCTTTCAAGGTAAGGAACTAGGAAAATTTCCAATAATGGTTACAGACACTATTCCAATTGATGACAGCCTCCTAATGTAGTTACTGCACAGATGTTGCAACCAATCAAGTAAACTTTTTGGAAAAATATGACCTGATAAACATATGGTGGAATTTCGGAAATAAGACCTGAATAAACATATATGGCAAGAAAGATTCAACATTTGAAGCAAACCAAAGAAGACAAAAAATCCAAGAACCACAGAGAAAAGACATCTAAGTATTATATCATGAGAAGTGCTAGGTAGAAGGCCAGTGGAAATATCAGAGAAAAACTAATGTTCACCAACTACTCAAGCCTTTTGTTGAGAAAACAATATTAATCGTATTCAATTTTTTTGTTGATCTTGGTATCCATCTGCCCACATGTTCTTTTCATCTATGTAGAACTTACTTTAAATGGACAGGACCATTAAGCTAGAAAAAATTTAGTTATCTAATCATGTTAAGTAGTAGATTTCAGATATTTTTTCTTTTTCTTTTTATTTAGGGAAATAAACTTGTATTGCATTTGGGAAATGATCATTCTCTCATGTGGTGGTTTATCTCTTTTAGATGTATGGTATGCATATAGGTTAGAGACAGTGTTTGATTATTTTCTATATCACGGTTTTGAGTAATCTTTCATGTATTTGGAGACTCATAGTCCACTTTTCTACTTTTCATCTTTTATCAATTAAACTTCCATCCAAGCCACATAAACAGAAATGATAATATGATTTGACAACTATAGTTGATTCATTTCAACACTAAAAGGGAAGGTGGGTTATCTTGTAAATCTTAAGACATCAAATCAAGTCAGGTATATACAATCTGTGGTACTCTTACTTTCATTTGAGTCATGTCGATACAAATGCCACCATTAGGGGATAACGTGTGGCCCTCAATTGATGTAGCTCCACCATAGGGAACAATAGGGACCTGATAAGAAAAATTAGTGAAGTAGAGAAGCAAACATCAAATGGAGTAGGTATTTAACTAAAATGACCAAAACGATTTGGATTAATTGATAGGGTATACTTCCTTCCATAGTAATCATTAAATTTTACTCCTCTTTCACAATTTATTTAACCACTACACAATCTGGAAGAAAAACAATTACTCATAGTACTAATAAACTCAATCAGAAACTTGGAACAAAATAGAAGCTTGGACCTTGTGCTCGTTACAAGATTTGACAATCTTTGACACCTCCTCTTGAGACCTGCAATAGGGCAAGAAAGCCAGGAACTTGAACATGATGTGATCCCAAAAGAAGAATGCAGCTAAAAGCTATGGAAATATGTTCTACCTCTTCAGTGTCATTTGCAATAAACTGCTAAATCATTTACAAAGATAAGGTAATATGTGCTCTTTATTTTTAGTTTAAACCAAAGGACAAGATGAACTACTTACACAACTTACTGCAGATCATGGAATGAAAGCTTCATTATATCACACAATTACCCGTTGATATGCAAAATACAACATGTGGTAACCCATTTCCCACACTACTTGTTCTTTCTTGTCATCATGAATTTTAATTTATAAAAGCCAATCAGTCACCCAAATAAAAGGGGAAAGAGAAAAGAAAAGAATTAGAAAATTAATCAAACAACAGAGCCCAGTTTCTTCACTTTCGATTTACAAAGACAGACACTAAAAACGGCCGAGTTTATAAAGATTTTTATCTCGTGAAAATCATGACAATTCAAAATACAAAATACTTATCAAAAAGTGGAAAATAAAGAGCTGTTTTTCAGTTTGAAAACCTCTCGTGACTCTTCTTTTTTATTCTAACACTAAAGTTACTGGAAAATCGAATGAGAAGATTAAATAAAGTCCTAGATTAGTTAGGAAATAATATAGTTTAGGATTCTTATTATTTCCTTTCCTTTTAGAGATAGGACTATTTTCCTATACATAGGTTTGGTTGTAATGCGTATATAACATTCAATAATTCAATTCTGCCTGAATTCTAAGTCTGTCTATGCCATTGATCATCAGTGTTGATAAACAGGTATGTTTATAAACAGGTTTGGTGAAACTTTTGGAGAGAAGAAGATAATAATCTTCATCTTGTTTACTTTCATTACATAGAGAAAACCAAAAATACAAGTATGGAAATAAAATAAAAATATGGAAACACAATAAACTCAATTGCACTATTGCCTAATTTGTGTGATTCTAATTTATTTAGATCTTTGGTCTGAAAATATTTTTTAGAAATTGTTTCAACCGAACAATCCTATCTGCATTATCGCCAGTGATTACAGCATCATCTATATAAATTACAAGGATAACATGTCCTGATTCAATGTGTTGATGAAATACTGAATGGTCTGTCTCACATATCTAGACCAAATTCCAAAACAACATTAGAAAACTTCTCAAACCATGCCCTTGATGATTGTTTTAACCCATATAAAGCTTTTTTCAACTTACAAACATAGTTCTGGTATTTCCCTGAGCAACAAACCCAGGTGGTTGCTCTATATAAATCTCTTCGTGTAAGTCACTATAACGGAAAGCATTTTTAATATCCAATTGAAATAGCGGACAACCAAGATTAGCAACAATAGAAATCAAAACGCGAATAGAAGATATCTTAGCAACTGAAGAGAATGTCTCATCATAATCAATATCATAGGTCTGTGTGTAACCTTCCGCAATCAGTCGTGCTTTCAATTGATCAACAATCCCATCAAGATTGAACTTCGGAACATAGACCCATCTATTGTCAATAAGATATACCCCAAGAGGTGATGGAACGAGTTATCTGCATTATCGCCAGTGATTACAGCATCATCTATATAAATTACAAGGATAACATGTCCTGATTCAATGTGTTGATGAAATACTGAATGGTCTGTCTCACATATCTAGACCAAATTCCAAAACAACATTAGAAAACTTCTCAAACCATGCCCTTGATGATTGTTTTAACCCATATAAAGCTTTTTTCAACTTACAAACATAGTTCTGGTATTTCCCTGAGCAACAAACCCAGGTGGTTGCTCTATATAAATCTCTTCGTGTAAGTCACTATAACGGAAAGCATTTTTAATATCCAATTGAAATAGCGGACAACCAAGATTAGCAACAATAGAAATCAAAACGCGAATAGAAGATATCTTAGCAACTGAAGAGAATGTCTCATCATAATCAATATCATAGGTCTGTGTGTAACCTTCCGCAATTAGTCGTGCTTTCAATTGATCAACAATCCCATCAAGATTGAACTTCGGAACATAGACCCATCTATTGTCAATAAGATATACCCCAAGAGGTGATGGAACGAGTTCCCAAGTCGTATAAATTTTCCCATAAAAATGAAGGACGTACATCACTTCAAATAAATTTCAATAAAAGAGAAACTACCACAAGAAAATATGCCGATCAACAATTTATGAATTTTCTCAGACACTTTAATCATCAAAGCATCCCAACTATCATTTTCATAACATTCCTAGACAAAAAAGAAAACAAATATATTTGGACTGCACTTTCCTTTCAAAGAAAAGAAGAGCATCTCACACAAGAAGCCATAGAAATTCTAGGTAAAATAACAAAGAGTAAGCAGTTCTATAGATTTCTGAGGATCGAAGAACTGATCTCACCTTGGAAAAACAACCACGTCAGGGATGTTCATTGCTTTATGAAAGCTATTCTGAGGCTTCCCATGGAAGTATCTATCATCATAGTCCATTGTCATGTTATCCTACATGCTGAATAACATTATAATCCATTCAAAGCAAACAAAAAGGTCTGCAATCGTATCCTCTCTTCCAACTCAAAATTCAAAAGAATGAATGTAGTTAAACATTTCCTTTTTTTTTTCACGCAGAAAGAAACTCAAAATGCTATATTCAACGAAGAAAAAAGCGTACAAGGAACTGGAAATTAACATAAAATAAAGAGTAAGATTGAGGAATAAAATGTTTGTAGTGGTGTAGGAGAAAACAATCAATACTTGATTAATGTCAAAATGAGATAAAAGACCTATGATCTACAGTTTACATGGAAAATTGAAGAACCGGGGTTCGAAAATTATTCTTTTGGTACATTTGTTGCCGAAGATCTTGTTGATTAGACAATGAAATATACACTTATCATATATCATATAGCTCTGGTTGCTAGGGGAACCATCTCGGCCAAAGGAGTTGGCAGCGGCGTTGGCATGGGCGAGTTTCTACATACGGGACAGGTGGGGTGCATCCGCAGCCACGGGTCGACGCAGCGGAGGTGGAAAAGGTGTCCACAATCCGGCAGCCCCCGGAGCATATCACTGTTCTTGTAATCTGCTAAACAAATGGAACAGCATGTGGCTGTGGAGTCCTTGTGATTCACTTTGGCCTCCGAGTAAAGCATCTTGGGGTAGCTAGTGATAGTGGTCTCATCAAGTCCGACGTCTATGACAGAGTGTTGCACTGCGTCCGACGCCGGTGGGGCAGCAGCCCTCCGCGGTGGTACAATTGTTGTATTTCTGGTGCAGTAATATGAAGCCACCGTGATGGTTGTGATTAGGAGGAGGATTCCGACGGAAACTCCGATGCCATAACCAAATCCACTGATGTTTTCGGAGCCCAGAAATCCGCCGGAGGTGGTGGTGCTGTTCATGATCTGGGCGGTAGATGGACCAATATTGAATGAGACAAAATTAAGGTGGTTTAATTAGGTCAACCATGAGGATATGCAGAGAGATAACGGAGGTTTTCAAATATGTGTAAAGTCAACGGTAACAAGAGATTGATGAGAAATTGGGGAGCTAATCAGGGGAAGACGCATTTGAAATCAAAAGAAGAAAAATGAACCGTTCAAAGTGTAAGGTAGTTAAATGATATTGTCACTTGATTTTGGCCTTGGATGTATTAGCAAAATAATCCATTAAGTCTTTATACCTAACACAAATGTTGGTGTCCAAACTCATAATCGTCTCCGACTCATATCAAATAAAATTAGGGGTTTAATAGAAAACACAAACCACATAGCAAGGTCAGATGAGAAGCTCATCCAAAGAGCTCGCTCAAGTGTTGCCATCAATTTTGAACATCATCGTTATCCCCTGAAAAAAAGATGTTTTTCGATGATATCGTCACCTCTTAAGCAACCATTCTTGAAAGAACAAGTGTCACCTTTAATATTACCACCTCTTTGATTCATTAGTCCGAATGGAGCAATGGCTGTCTAAATTGTAAGCAATAATAATCTAGGTTGTAGCTATAATCTAAGTAGAACGATGATATGTTAGTCGAATTCAACAGCCAATCAAAAACTCTTCAATCATGACGATGACACACATATCGAGATCGAAAGTGTAGCTTGATGTGAATGAGGATGGCCAACCCTTGGTAGGAGACTTATAAATAGGAGCTATGGTTCCCTATTGAAGTCCGAACTCATCCTAAACTTTGTAATACATTCTCTAAGCCATCTTCAATAAGAATTGCTTTTCCTTTTACAATATTCCAACAAATATTTTACATAATTCTTCGTAAGTTACTCTAAAATTGTCACACAATTTATAATCATCAACAACAAATATGATACATTTTGGCACGTGAAGACTAGAGATTAACATTTTAACATACAAAATTATGATCCCCTCCATACATACATGTTGGAAGATTACATGGACTTTATAGACACTTATAAACAAGGTGAGTTGGATATTTTTGGAGTAATTTTTTAAGAAGGTGGGTCCCATACGAGACTTCATCATGTGAGTTGTCTATAACCCTCTTGTAAAATATCAGCATGTACATATAACTTTAATTCAAAATTAACTTCTTTCATTATTAAGGGTCTGTTCGGTAGTAATTTTGAAAATTGATTTTTTGATCGTTAGGAGAAAAGTGAGGGCCACTTGTAAGAGAAGAAGTCAAAAATTATGATTGAAATGATGAAATAACGGTCAAAAAATCAATTTTTTTGGTGAAAAATTACTCCCAAATGAGACCTAAGTATTGTCCGTTACAATACAATCGAACAATAACAATATTTCTCTATTGATTGAGTTGTGGTTTGCAAGTTATTAAATGTCAACGGTTTTGGGTTCTTTTTATCCTTTTCATTTACGCTTGCTAGTTGTTTCATGTGACTAACTCGCTGCAATTAAATTCTTCACCTATTTAAATAACTATATTATTATTAAATTCACCTCTCTTTTTCCATGTTATTGTCAGTCTCGTATACAATGCACGTTCTATGCATCATAAAGTAAGATTATGATGTGTTATTACTTATTTTATTAGAATAAGGTGGAATGACATTAAGATGGGCTGTGCCAACATTTTGCATGTATGACATTAGGGTTGTAGGATGGAAGTTTTTCAAAATAAAAAAATAAAAAATGATATATTAAATGGGACTCATGTGAACTTCGATCTTTGATGTCCAATAAGTTGGTTAGAGCATCCATCTTATTTTATTATTTCTCAGCAATTGATATACACGGATCTGGGCGGTAGATGGACCAATATTGAATGAGACAAAATTAAGGTGGTTTAATTAGGTCAACCATGAGGATATGCAGAGAGATAACGGAGGTTTTCAAATATGTGTAAAGTCAACGGTAACATGAGATTGATGAGAAATTGGGGAGCTAATCAGGGGAAGACGCATTTGAAATCAAAAGAAGAAAAATGAACCGTTCAAAGTGTAAGGTAGTTAAATGATATTGTCACTTGATTTTGGCCTTGGATGTATTAGCAAAATAATCCATTAAGTCTTTATACCTAACACAAATGTTGGTGTCCAAACTCATAATCGTCTCCGACTCATATCAAATAAAATTAGGGGTTTAATAGAAAACACAAACCACATAGCAAGGTCAGATGAGAAGCTCATCCAAAGAGCTCGCTCAAGTGTTGCCATCAATTTTGAACATCATCGTTATCCCCTGAAAAAAAGATGTTTTTCGATGTTTTTCGATGATATCGTCACCTCTTAAGCAACCATTCTTGAAAGAACAAGTGTCACCTTTAATATTACCACCTCTTTGATTCATTAGTCCGAATGGAGCAATGGCTGTCTAAATTGTAAGCAATAATAATCTAGGTTGTAGCTATAATCTAAGTAGAACGATGATATGTTAGTCGAATTCAACAGCCAATCAAAAACTCTTCAATCATGACGATGACACACATATCGAGATCGAAAGTGTAGCTTGATGTGAATGAGGATGGCCAACCCTTGGTAGGAGACTTATAAATAGGAGCTATGGTTCCCTATTGAAGTCCGAACTCATCCTAAACTTTGTAATACATTCTCTAAGCCATCTTCAATAAGAATTGCTTTTCCTTTTACAATATTCCAACAAATATTTTACATAATTCTTCGTAAGTTACTCTAAAATTGTCACACAATTTATAATCATCAACAACAAATATGATACATTTTGGCACGTGAAGACTAGAGATTAACATTTTAACATACAAAATTATGATCCCCTCCATACATACATGTTGGAAGATTACATGGACTTTATAGACACTCATAAACAAGGTGAGTTGGATATTTTTGGAGTAATTTTTTAAGAAGGTGGGTCCCATACGAGACCCACATCATGTGAGTTGTCTATAACCCTCTTGTAAAATATCAGCATGTACATATAACTTTAATTCAAAATTAACTTCTTTCATTATTAAGGGTCTGTTCGGTAGTAATTTTGAAAATTGATTTTTTGATCGTTAGGAGAAAAGTGAGGGCCACTTGTAAGAGAAGAAGTCAAAAATTACGATTGAAATGATGAAATAACGGTCAAAAAATCAATTTTTTGGGTGAAAAATTACTCCCAAATAGGACCTAAGTATTGTCCGTTACAATACAATCGAACAATAACAATATTTCTCTATTGATTGAGTTGTGGTTTGCAAGTTATTAAATGTCAACGGTTTTGGGTTCTTTTTATCCTTTTCATTTACGCTTGCTAGTTGTTTCATGTGACTAACTCGCTGCAATTAAATTCTTCACCTATTTAAATAACTATATTATTATTAAATTCACCTCTCTTTTTCCATGTTATTGTCAGTCTCGTATACAATGCACGTTCTATGCATCATAAAGTAAGATTATGATGTGTTATTACTTATTTTATTAGAATAAGGTGGAATGACATTAAGATGGGCTGTGCCAACATTTTGCATGTATGACATTAGGGTTGTAGGATGGAAGTTTTTCAAAATAAAAAAATAAAAAATGATATATTAAATGGGACTCATGTGAACTTCGATCTTTGATGTCCAATAAGTTGGTTAGAGCATCCATCTTATTTTATTATTTCTCAGCAATTGATATACACGGATGAATTGATAATAGTCGACAATTATATAATTATTATCTTTAATAAATCTACAAATTGACAATTAGTGCACTAAAAGTACAATATAAAATTTGAAATTAAATTCACAATGTAACTTGTCAGATTTTGGGGGACTAAAAGAAGAAAATGCAAAGGATTTTTACTAAACTTTCGATGAGCGTGCAACTGAGTTTCTTATCTTTAAGTTCAAACAATCAGACTACTCAAATTTGATTTACATGCGATCATAGCTACATCTACTGCATTTGTGTGCAAGTCATGTTAGAGATGCAGACATATTCTTAGGTACTTTCAAGCACACGAAGGTAGTATAGTGTGTAGGCAGTAACAGGGACGCATGCACAATCTCAAGCAATCTCAAGCACACCGTGCTGCTTCGATGTACCTGAAAGTGTCTGATAATATTTGAAAAATGTTCTTGCATCTCTGTCATTGCCTGCACTGTGTTGCTTAAAAAACGTGCTTGTGTCCCTGCCACAACCTGCACACAATGCTGCCTTCGTGTGCACGAAAGTGCCCAAGAATCTTGAAAATGTATCCGCGTTCCTGCCACAGACGTATAAGTTGACATGGATGTTGAAATTAAGAGTAATGTTATTCATATATTACAACATCGTTTTATGTGGCACTAAGTGTTGTTAAATGTGGGATTGGGCATAGTCAGGTTCGATTCTAATCGGAAGAATCGAATCGAGTATCAATGAAAATCTTAGAAATTGAATCATTGGTTCCATATTAACTATAGAACTTAACCAACCAATTTTGATTAAGCTCGATCATGTTCTTTATATTGGAAATTTATAAAAATAAAATAGGAAATTACCCGTCATATAAAAAAGAAAAAAAATCGAAACCATTTATCATTCTTATAATCTAATAATATAAAAAAATCAATTGAACAAGGTAACAAAACAGAAATATGCTCGGGGGCTCAAGATCAATTAATAATGTCGTGGAAAATTATACCTTAATAAACACGATATAAATTACAACATTTGTATCAAAAATTAATTTTTAAGAAAATTCATACATAAGTATATATTAAAATTGTATATAGTATTTATACACATGATTATCTTCAATAATCTTAAAGGAAAAGATCTTGATTAAGATGATCGAACCACTTTGAAAATGACGAAAAAGTTGAATTCTTAGGAAAAATTGAACAAAAAATACACCTTTTCTATTGTAATTGCATTAAAGTTGTGAATTTCTATAAATGATTTATAAAATTATTTAAGTTTAAATTTTGAATACTTATTGATTTATTACAAGAGAGAGAGAAGAAATAGCATGTGAAAAGTGAAATTTTGCGCGTGAGATAATTTTTGGGTCTAATGTTTAAATATTTGGTACATATTTATGCAATACTCCGACAAAAAGAGAAATGAGGAAGAATCGAATTCATTATTGGTTTTTAAGATAGTACCAATAATCAAACCAAATCGATCAATTCTCGATGTATGGTCCCAAAATCGATAAATTTAATAACAAATCGAAATCAAACCGATCGATTCTATTCAATTCCAATCTAGCTCCCCAAAAATGCCCACATCTAATTAAAAGAAAGGCACAATTAAATAATCATGTAATTCAACTTTAATTGAACTTATCACATAATACTATATAAATGAGTACTCTAACACTATTGGTATTAAATAGCATTATTCTAAAATTAATGGAGGAATGACGAAAATATGAATTAATAAAATTGAGGAAAGATGTTGTGTCTATGCTCGTTTTGTTATTTTTGTAGGATTTTAAGATATTTTCATCATCTGAAAAATTCAAACTTAGGCTATGTTTTATTGCACCCCAATTCCATGAAAAATGGAAATCAAATTCCATATTTCCAATTTTTTGTTGTTTGATTGGCAAAATTTTCCCTAAAATTCGAATTCCACCTTTTATGCCACCTAAACTAATTTCCATGTTTTCTTTGAATTTCAATATTCTCACCAAAATGGTGAGAATTGGAATTCTCGGTTACTATAGCACTCTTTTTTTTTGATTTTTTTGTTGGCAATTGAACAAATTTTAAAAATTATTGTAAAAAAATATTTCCCTTTAAATGACAATTTCATGTAAAATAAAGTCAAACAAACACCAAAAGATAGATGATTTTCTTGAAATTTTTTTTTTGTACGTTGGCAATGGAAACAAATTTTATCCCCAATACCAATAAAATCTATCCCTTTAATTGACAATTTTCATATAAAATAAAGCCAAACGGAGATCAAAAAACACTTTTATTTCAACATTTTCCACATGAAAAATTATCTCAATCAAACACAATAATTTACAATTCTCAAAAAAATAATTTATAGGCAATTCAATTTCCTGAAATTCATTTTCAGTTCAATTCAATTCAATTCCATCTTTACAATCAAACGAACCCTTGTATGTTGAACATTGTTAAAATGAATGTCTATGATCATTATTATTATTATTATTATTATTATTTCCTTTTGTAAAATTTTAAGATATTTTCATCATCTGTAAATTCAAATTTATTGTGTGTTTCGTTGTTAAACTTAAATTTAACTATTGCATAATTGATTAATCATTAATCGTGGGATTGAAAATACACAATACGTGTGCTTGCGATATATAATTTTTAGACAACAATAGGTCGGTGTCATTTTTATAAATTTAGTGACCAAAATTCAATCACCTTAAAGTTTAATAAACAATCAAATATATTTTTCAAAGTATAGTGAGTAATCAAATACGTTTTTCATAATTTGATGAGTAATAAAAGATGCTTTTTTATGTGGTAATTTGGTAATGGTGTGACAGGACGTCACTTATGAATTCCGTTAGTCATGTAATCAATTTCATTAGATGTTTAAAATAGATGTTATGTCAATGAATAATGTTCAACGTTTGGATAAATTTAGTAACCAAAATTTGATAGTTTAAAATTGAATGGATAGTCGAAAACTCCAACGTAAACTCAAAAATGACTCAGGTGAATAATTAAAAGTCGCGTAATGTTTGAAGTTTTTTTTTCTAGGCAAACCTCCCAACTGCAAAATTTCAAAAGAATAATGCTCATTGTACACCAAGTCTTAGGGTAACTAATAATCTAGAGCTCGGTGTACAACCTAGGGTTGGCAACAGTTCAGTTCAGGGTCAGTTCGATCAAAACCATCAGCAAACCAACAACTTTTTTGTTATATCATAACTGCACCATAACCATATAAGTCAATTTCAGTTCGAGGCGGTTAATAACTGTGAAAATAAAATATTTTTCATAGGTCTAGTCATCAAATTGAAAAAAAAAATTATAAAAAAATCACATATGATGGTTATCAACTGATAGTCGAGTAAATTATATTGGAGCACTTCAAACAATTTGCGTTGTTGATCACTTACTAGATCAAAATTGTACAAAGGACCGATAGAGGGTACATTTGTAAGAAAGCGACGATTTATGGTACCAAAGGTGATGTCTACATTACTAATGACAAAATAAAAAAAGGCAAAGACTATATATATTTAATTTCAAGCCAATCCAAATGCCTAAAACTAATCAAATGATTAAATTTATCGTAAAAGAATAAGTTTTTTGAAACTAAAATTGTTGATTCAATTCGCTTCAAGAGCGAGTGAGTTGATAACCATCGTGTGTGACTGCAAAAAGGAAGAAAAGGGGTCTTGTGGAGTTTGTAAAATTGGATATTTTTATTACATATATTTTGCATTGCATTACTATTTAGATGAAAATAATAAATTTAACGGATAATCGGTTCGGTTTGGGGTGACGGCGTAAATATCATACTTACACCGGCCTGAATCGATTCATTAAAATCAAATACAATATCTATCACATTGTACTATCGTTTCGATTTTTTTGCCCCGTTCGATTCAATTAACTGCAATTTTTTATTTTAGCGTTTCAAATTGTACAAGTACAAGCTCAGGGCCCATCTGAGGAAGGCTAGGTGTACAATTAGCAGGGCCGATTTCAAAATTCTTCAACAGCGAAGAAAAACCAAACAAAATCCAACTCTCAAGCCTTTCCCAATCATCAATGGCGATTCCAAAAACCCTGAATCCAGCAGTTCCCTTTCTCATCATCCTCTCAACTCTACTCCTCTCCGGAGAATCAAGAACTGACACGAATAATGTATTCTCTCCTTGCGGCGATACGAAGGTGCAGAAGAAGGATGGCTTCACATTTGGTATCGCGTTTGCTTCAAGGTCGGCCTTCTTCTTCAACAACAACAATTCCGTTCAGCTGTCGCCGTGTGACAGTCGCCTCTCGCTCTCCAACGGAAACTCCCAGGTCGCTGTTTTCCGCCCCAAAGTGGACGAGATCTCACTCCTCACGATCAATACCTCCAGTTTCTTCCCGGTACTATTACTACTTCTATATATCTGCTTGTATTTTTTGGTATAAATTAACTAATTATGGGTCTATGCAATGAAATTAATTTTTTTTCTTGGGAAGAATTGCGTTTCTGATTTTTGGTTTACTTTTTCTTAATTTTATTTATCTGTCTGGCTGTGAAAACATATGGTTCTCGGAAATTGGGTTTTAAAAGGAGTAAAGAATTGGGCATTGGCAGTTACATTTTTCCCAGCAGAAGTGGTTACAATATGAATTTGGTGCAAGTAGGATTGGGGTGGGTTTCATCAAGAGAGATATTAAATGTGGAAGTCACATGTTTATAGAGTTCATCCACGTGAAAGACGACCAAATTATATAAATATTGTCAGAAAGTATAATTTGGGATTATAGTCCATGAGAGAATGGATTTAAGGACTGTTCTAAAGAATATATGTTAGGGGGTGCTAAGATAGACATTCTTGTTGCCTCATTGATGACTGGATCAAAACATCAGAGTGGACGTTGTGTGTGAAAAATGTTGTATCCTTAATTTGGGTGGTTGATATAGCCAAATGCACTTTGCTCTTTTAGATTTTTGACTTCTTTCGGTATTAGACTGATAAAAATACGGGCATTTTGTGGTGGATCATTCACGTCCATTTTTTGTATACAAAGGGCATGTTGGCTTATTAGTGTGGAGTCAATGCAAGGGGATATCATTATGTAGGAATACTTAAAAAACAATTGAGGGGTTGCCTAAATATATAATGTGAGCATATAGATGACACAGCTGGATTGGATTTCGATTTTTACAGTTTTCCATTATTATCAGGATGTATTATAGTTTAATCTATCCCTGTCAGTCCTATTTTGATTAAGCCTTCTCAGATTTACAAGTGTGGCAAAAAACTAATCTAATGCATTAGGTCCGGCATTCCAGAGATGCAAACTAATTTGAAAATATTTTGTGCTTCTTGGAATAAATAGTGTATAAAAGGACTTAATAAACCAATTATGAATGATAATAGGAAAAGGAATGATTTTTAAAGATCATAATGTGAGGATGATTAGAATCTAAACAATTTAATGAAAATTAATACTCAACAACAAAATAAAATGGATTGAACAACTCAACCAATATAAAACCACTACCGTTGGTGAATGTTGAGGATGATTTCGGAAGTACAAACCATGTCAGATATTTAGGTAAGTTTGATTTCAAACAAAATAAACAGCTTACGAGCTCGATTAAGCCTAAGATAAATTCCTATCTATCTTATCTTCTGTATTTTTTTGAACATCTCAGGAATCTTTTGGAGGTTATATGGTTGCATTTGCTGGTCGAAAATATGCTGCAAGGTCCATTCCTGCTTTTGTTGCAAATGGTACATACACTGTAACAAGTTTTACTCTGGTATGAAGAAAATCATTACCTCTTAGTTTCTGAGCTAGTATGAATTCACTTTATATCTAACTGGATAATTTTCACATTGATGCAGGTTCTCGAATTCAAAAAGGGCAGGCTGCAGAACTTGTATTGGAAAAGAGACGGCTGCTCATCTTGCTCTGGCAATTCTAACTTTGTTTGTCTCAACAATCAAGACTGTGCAATAAGAACTAATAACTGCAAAAACCGAGGGGGAGGAGGTTCTGTAGACTGCAGCCTTGGTATTCAACTGACATTTTCTGGTACAGATAAGCACGATTCAGTTTTTAACTCGTGGTATGAAGTTCAGAATCTTCGGCAGTATTCCCTTTATGGTCTTTATTCTAATCTCAGGAATTCTCTCACCAGTCAATACAACAGAATCCTTTAGTTTTCTTTATTCTGTTAAATTAGATTTTTCATGGTGTGGATTTCTGTTTTAACTCTTAAATACGTAATATGTTATTTTCAAGCTGTGCACTTGGTGTTCTTGTATTTTGAAGAATTATGGATGGTTGTGTATATTTAAATTCTTTCATGGCTTGAAAAGTATGATGTATCAAAACAAAACGATGCTTTGGATTTTGAGCGAGCGGTTTTCCTCCGACTGTATCTTAATTTTGAATTTGGATGTATATGTTTTTAACTTCTCATTGTTTGAAGCTAAATTATATTTGGGTTTTTTCACTTTGCCAGAAGACTTTAACAGATTCTTTGACGTAATTTGAGGTGGTGGATGATATGATTTGATAGAAAAGCTAACTGTATTTAAATTCGTCAAATGATATAATATCACATGGAATCAAAGAGTCTCACACTGTAGCATGATTGAGGATGGCAAATGCTTTTACTCCAGATCAATGTCACCAACCTGGAAGAATTACTTGTGTGTGAGGAGAGGAAATACACGAAAATGGCTCTTCCACTGTAGCAAAATTTGATATTGGCATTTGACCCATTAAATGAATTAAAAAAAAAACAAATTAAGTTAAAAAAAAAACTTCACAGTAAAAGGCGATTTTACCCTTCAAACTGTTTGAAAAATTTTCTCTAGCTGACCGATCAACCACCGGCAACTACACCAACGTTGCAGTCAACGACCTGATCTACACCGAAAATAAATAATCGGTTAGTTTTCATCACTTTTTGTTTCAGTAGAAAATTTATTGAATGAGTAAAATTAGTATTTTCCACATTATTCAGTTTAATTAGATCCATGGGCATGAGTAGTTAGATTGTGGGCATGCTAGGAGTGTGAAAATGTGGATTTTTTTGCAATTTTTGAAACTCACAGCGCCGGCAATGGCTATTTCCGGCGGGCAGGAACGAACAGTCGGCCCAGATTGAATATTTAAATTTTATTTTTTTTATAATTTTTGTAATTAATTAAATTTTTTATTTGATTAAATAGTAATTATGTTATTTATTTATTTAATTTTTATCATTGTCAATATAATATAATAATTGAAATATTGTAAAATTAACAATGTTGATTCTTTTTTTTTTTTTTTATGAAATTATCTTTAATTTATTTTTTCAAATTTATTTAAATAATATGAATAGTCTTTACATTTTAAAAAAAGGTAAAGTAATTATTTATTTAATTTTTATATTTGTCTTTTATATAATTTAATAATTGAAATATTCTAAAATTAACAATTTTGTTTTGTTCCTTTTTTTTTTTGAAATAATCTTTCATTTATTTTTTCAAATTTATTTAAATAATATAAATAGTCTTTAAATTTTTTGAAAATGTAAAGTAATTATTTATTTAATTTTTATATTTGTCTTTTATATAATTTAATAATTGAAATATTTTAAAATTAATAATTTTGTGTTGTTCCTTTTTTGTTTATGAAATAATCTTTAATTTATTTTTTAAATTTCTTTAAATAATATAAATAGTCTTTACATTTTTTGAAAATGTAAAGTAATTATTTATTTAATTTTTATATTTGTCTTTTATATAATTAAATATTTTAAAATTAACAATTTTGTGTTGTTCCTTTTTTTTTATGAAATAATCTTTAATTTATTTTTTAAATTTATTTAAATAATATAAATAGTCTTTACATTTTTTGAAAATGTAAAGTAATTATTTATTTAATTTTTATATTTGTCTTTTATATAATTTAATAATTGAAATATTCTAAAATTAACAATTTTGTGTTGTTCCTTTTTTTTTATGAAATAATTTTTAATTTATTTTTTCAAATTTATTTAAATAATATAAATAGTCTTTACATTTTTCGAAAATGTATTTAATTTGAAATTTTTTGTTTGTAAATATATTTTTCAAATAATAATTATTTTATTTAATTATTCAATTTTTATAATTTCCATTTTTTTATATAATTTAATAATTGAATACATAATATTGTTCGAAATTAACAATTTGTTTTGTTCCTTTTATTGTTCTTTTATGAAAATCTTTGATTTTTTTCAATTTATTTAAATAATATTTATATTCTTTAATTTTTTTGACAATACATTTAATTTGATTTGTTGTTTTTTATAAATATATTTTTCAAATGTAATATTTGTGATTGTATGATAGTTAGAGTTCGGTTCCCTTAATTTTGTGAGATTATGCTTTCTTTTGTTATCTCTTGTTCGATGCAGCCATGGAGAGAAGCAATAGGCTGTACGAGACGTACTTCCAGGGACATGGGTCGGTGCTTCTACCCGACTTGATGGTCGCGATCAGGGGGTGCGACCATATGCTAGATAGATTGAAGCTTGGGCTAGTCTATATCCTCGAGAGTGTGATGAGGTGTCATCACAAGAAGACTGCCATCGACATTTTTCATTTACAAGTTGTTGACGACATCGATGGGTTCAACAACTATCCATGGGGTCGAAGATGCTATGAAGACACCGTACATGTGTTCACCAGATCGCACTCGAGGCCCAGGGGGTCGATGCGTAAATACGATACATATGGATTGCCCTTAGCGGTGCAGGTAAATGTTTAATATAATCAAAGTTAAAATTTTAGTGTATTACATTGATGTTTAATAAATGTATGTGTTACAGATTTGTGTGTATGAGATAGTTCCTGTACTAGGGGCCCGCTTTGCGCAGCGAGGGGAGACACGCTGCCCTCGGATGCATCATTGGAGATCATCGCGAACGGAGGGATGTCCCACTGGGAAGCAATTATCGGCCCTCCTCGACGACATTTTTCATTTGCAAGTTGTTGACGACATCGATGCGTTCACCAACTATCCATGGGGCCGAAGATGCTACGAAGACACCGTACATGTGTTCACCAGATCGCACTCGAGGCCCAGGGGGTCGATGCGTAAATACGATACATATGGATTGCCCTTAGCGGTGCAGGTAAATGTTTAATATAATCAAAGTTAAAGTTTTAGTGTATTACATTGATGTTTAATAAATGTATGTGTTACAGATTTGTGTGTATGAGATAATTCCTGTACTAGGGGCCCGCTTTGCGCAGCGAGGGGAGACACGCTGCCCTCGGATGCATCATTGGAGATCATCGCGAACGGAGGGATGTCCCACTGGGAAGCAATTATCGGCCCTCCTCGGCGATCCTCAGGTAAGTATTATGCATTTGTGATTTATATTATACGTAATTTAAAATTCTGTTTACATGATCGTTAAGTAGTTGAAATGTCAATATGTCAGCTTGAAGTCATACCTGAGTTGACGCCATCGATGGAAAAGGAGGCTCAGGGTCTTGTGCGGGATTTAGGCGTTCCGCACACCCCAGACGAGGAGATGTCTGATCCGAGCCTGGATCGAGATTGGGTATGTGAATGAAATATAATTTATTGAATATCGTCGACGTATAAATTTATTGAATAATTTTTCATTTTATTTATGTAGGAGGGCGGTCCAGCTGATCGACGATCACCTCCGCCGAGGGCATCACCGCCACCATTTGTATCACCTCTGCCGAGAGTATCATCCCCGCCATTGGCATCACCTCCATCGAGGGCATCACCGCCGCTAGTGGCATCACCTCCGCCGGGGCCATCGCCGCCGCCATTGGCATCACCTCCATCCAGACACCTCCCCCGTGTGTCTCCGGGGCACAGTAATGATTTGTATGCCCGTTTGACTGGATTTATAGCGGAGAAGGTAGGCGCGCTACGACGAGATTTAACGGAGAGGGTCGATGATCTGGGACGAGAGTTGACAGGGAGGGTTGACGATCTATCCCATGATGTTGGAATACTACAGTCTTCCGTTGTCGACCTTCAGGATACAGTAGTGACGCTTAGAGGAGATTTAGCCGGCAGACGATGGGGGGACAGAGGGGATGGCGGAGATCATGATCGAGAGGGTGGCAGAGATGGTGATGGAGAGAGGGGTCGCCCACATTTTTGGCGTGATGAGACATTGGAGTCATTGTGGTTGTCTATGGAAAGGGTGGCCCCGATGGGGATGGAAGAGGGGACTACGGAGGGTGTGGCCCTGACGGGAGGGGCGGAGGAGGTGGCGACGGAGGGGGAGGCCCCGATGGGAGGCGGAGAAGGTGGCCCCGGAGGTTGAGACGACGCCCGGCGTGATTGAGGGTAGGAACATGCTGTTGATGAGACGGAGCAGGTGGTCGGCAAGAGGTTGAGAGTGCCGTCACAGTATGTTGTTTCCCCCTTCACAGTTGAGGTCAAGAGGAGGACGTTCATCGATGAGACGTACCCGAACTTATTCAGAGAGGTGGACAATGCCAAGTGGAAAGCGTTCGAGACAGAGTGGAGGAGAATTATCCCCGGGTAAGTATTGTATGATTTTAATAAAGCACTGTACGCTAACTCGTCTACGCTTATTTTAACATTTCCCTGTTTTTTACAGAGTTAGCCGCACGATAGGTCAAAGGACGGTCTCAGACCCTTACAAGTGGTTCCACAATATCACCACTGCGGGAGCTTGGCTCGCTGACGATGTAAGTGAACTATTCATTTAGTGTTTTTTATGTATATGTGACATTGTGTTTATTAAATGAATAACTCATACTTTTTTGGTGTTTCCTGCTGCAGCACATCGACCTGGCCATGGACTTGCTGCGAGATCGAGCTCAAAGACATCCAAAATCATTTGATGTCCATGGTCGAGTCATATTAAACACCGAGTTCCTGCGTGATGTTACCATAGAGTATCAGTCGCTCGAACTTATGGGTATCGAGTACACGGTGCCAGAATATATGCTCGAGTGGGTGATAGGACTGTCACCGAGTGTCGGGGGAAATCATGGGAGGGTTGTACACATATGTACATTCCAGCGTGCATTAATAAATACTATGTTACGCTGGAGATCGTTTTTGCTGACTCGACTATATATGTGTACGATCCAGATCATTCATGTTTGACACAAGGCCAGTTGGAGCAAAACCTGAAGTCCGTGGCTATAATTGTTCCTATGATGGTCAGATGAGCGGGGATAAATGTACAGGACAGATTGCAGATCGTTCGGAACACGACGACAGCGCGACAGTCCGTAAGGTAATTGTTTGAACTTTGTTGTTTTCATCTTTCAAATTTAGTTTTTATTTACACAGTACTGAACTGATTCATTCTTGTTCAATTGTAGCGGCGACTGCGGCATATTTGCCATTAAGTACGTTGAATTTTTAAGTATAGGA